AAGCAAAGCCCAAATTCAAGTAAGTAAAACGCACGGATAAACACGTTTTACGATAGCATGGTTATGAGTAACAAACATACGACGCATAAATAAACAAAGAGAGGACTCACACCACTGTGATCCATTTGTTATGTATCATACCAGCAGCAAGCTACGTTTTCACAACTCAATGAGGTTGCTTGATACGATCCTTCTACATCAACATCTTAAGCTCAAAAGTCACAAAGTAATTTCGTTTTTACTTTGTTTTAAAATCCAGGAAGTGCCCCCCCCCTCGATTTAAACTCAAACTGTGGAACGTCGTTCCCCTCGCTGCCAAATTAGCTCCCTTCATTAAATCTATTAAAACTCACTGCCATTTGAGTCTGTGTGATTCCTCATTGTGTATCCTGTGGCTTTTTAGAAATGTCCATTCCACCTTTTCTCAGCACGTTGTTTTTTAAATGTGCTTTACAAATACACTTGTGTTGAGAGTTGCATTGACCATAAGTGGCCGTTTTGATTGTTCAGATTTAATTACTTTGATTTAATAAAAACATTTCCAGAGATCTCTAGGCTGTGCCTCTCTGCTCCGGCACTAAGAAAAGAAAATCCCAATTTCTGTCTACATATAGTGCAGTTTGTAGAAACTACAGATATGCAGCTACTTCTGAGCAGCAACAGGCAGCAACACGTGCAAACACAGAGGGGACATTTGTTTGGCACATGCTTATTGTTTTTGATCCTCATTTGACACCAACTGTCATCACAACTCAATTTCCCTGTTATTGATCTTTTTTTTTTAACTGAATAGTTCTTATTTAACCCACGCTTGTTAACTTAATATCTTTTCCTGCTTTTTCAGGCCATTCATCATGCCAAACCTTATTCCCCCTAAGATCCCAGACGGCGAGAGGGTGGATTTTGATGTACGTGACACAATACAGTACTTACTGTGCATGGGCTTTTGTATCCTGGTGTATTATGTACAGGTCTCAGGGTGGAGTAGACATGTCTTCACAGCTTTCACTCTGTATTTTTCTAGCTTTCTCTAAGCCTGCTTTTAATTTAGGACCAAAAACAAATATGTGCATCAGTATAACATAGAACTGGGTCACTGAATCCAACAGGATATACATCGCAAGAGAATGGAGAAGGACCTGATGGAGCTTCAAACTCTAATCGAGGTTCACTTCGAAAGCAGAAAGAAGGAAGAAGAAGAGCTCGTTCAGCTCAAAGAAAGGATTGTGAGTGCCCCACACTACAGCCAGTCAAATGTAAACCACTTCCCACCTCAGACATTACAGATCTGCTTTAGGATCTGTTTTAATGAGATGTGATGATCTGTTGCTCAGGAGAAGCGTCGCTCTGAGCGAGCAGAGCAGCACAGAATTCGCAGCGAGCGAGATAAAGAGCGACAGAAGCGTCTTGAGGTAGAGTCCTGTTCTACGCGCTTTAACACGGTCTATAAAGTGGCACGCGTTTCACCTCGGATCGTCTTTCTCTCGGGGTTCTAGGATGAGAGGATTCGCAAGGAGGAGGAGGAGGCCAAGAAGAGGGCAGAGGATGATGCAAAGAAAAAGAAAACCCTCACCAGCCTCCACTTTGGAGGTTACATGCAAAAGCTGGTGAGTCAGTGGAGTTTTAACAGTGGGGGTTTTCAAAAAGCTCCACTAGTAACTTTTATAACAGAAATTATTTTATTTTTAAAGACAGACAAACGGAGTGGCAAGAGGCAGACAGAGAGAGAAAAGAAGAAGAAGATCCTGAACGAAAGGCGCAAATCTCTGGACATCGAGAACATGAGTCAGGAAAGACTCAAGTAGGTTCAGACGCACAGAGCAGGACTTAGAATCTGTAGGTTTGTTCACTTACAAAGAAATGTGGTTTCATTTTAATGGAGAGAGACGAATATGAACCAAAAATTAATCAATGCACTGCCTCAACTCCCTGTGTGTATCAAGAACACGTGTCCATTACATGCAAATCATCTGATAACATTTTGGTCATGTGGAGGTTTTATTTCAGGATTTTAGTTAATATTCTGTCTCCCTCCATTAAAACAAATACTACCATTAAAAATAGAGACTCTTCATTTCTTTGTAAGTAAGCAAACAAATTCAGCAGGGCATCAAATAATTATTTCTCCCACTGCATGTTTCATTATCTCACACAATAGCTATTGCATTTTTTCTTCACGACACACAAAATTAAAATAATAAAACAATGAAAATAATTCTCGTTATAATAATTTGTTTTCCAGAGAGAAAGCTAAGGAGCTGTGGGAGTGGATCCAGCAGCTGGAGGCAGAGAAGTTTGATCTGCAGTACCAGTTCAGCAGACAGAAATATGAGGTGCGCTCAGCTAATTGAAGAAACAAAGACACGGCATCAGTGAGACCTGGTCACAGTGTAACAAAATGTTTTCTTCATTCCAGATTAATGTGCTGAGGAACCGTGTGAGCGACCATCAGAAAACGTGAGCACAAGCTCGAAATCCCATTTTAATTAAAAGTTTAAAACATGTAGTTACCATAGAGCGCACATATGATGTCACACAGGTGTAACAAAATGCAACAGACAGGTGAGGTTTGGGACAATAACTTGATTGGAGAGTGTCAAGCTATGTGTGTGTGAGAGCATTAGAGTCATGGGAATTTAAAACTTATAGTGAGGCGGGGTTAAAAGAAAGAGAGGGAGTGTAACACTTTGTTAGTAACAATAACCAAAAAAAGTAATATAATTAACAAACAAATGCTTTAAGAGGTGAGGAGAAATCAAACAAATCATATATAATAATTAAATGAGTGATCAAGAAAAGAAAAGAGCAAGTGTGGACAAAGCAGCAGGTCACCACTGGAGAGGCCAATGAGATGAGTGAGGAGAGGCTGACTTTTAGTTGCAGCTATGAGTGAAAGCCCTGAACGGTCGTGCATCTCCCTTAGAGCGACTTGACAGAGTTTTGCATGAATCCCTTCTTCTGTGATTCATGCCGGTGTTTGTGGGGGAAGCTTTTTGTTAAGAAACGACCGTCTCTGAGGCCCAAGTGGAAAAGCTTTTTGTTTTCAGACTCCCTGCAGTGTCACCAAATATTGTGTATTCACAATCTCACAGCCGCCTTGTCCTAACTCGGCGAGCTGGCTGCGTTTGGTCATCTGTCATACCTGTCAGGGATAAAGTGAAAGAACATGATGTCACTGTTATTTTTGAACAGGGTGCAAGAAGATTTCAAAACGTAACCGTGCAACCTCGCTACGATCTGTGCCACATCAGTTGTGTCTGAATCACAAACGCTTCTGTTTTTCAACAGGTCAAAGAGGACCAAGAGAGGACTGAGGAAATAGATGCTGATGTGCTGAGTGACAAGTATTATCATCCGCCCTGTCATGCAGCCACTGCCTCAAACCAAGCCCAGGCTTTACGGCCACACCCAAGTCACACTTATCTTCTTACGGTTGCCTTAAGCACAGCTTGGGTCCAGTTTTCCAGCCTTATCTCTCGCTCTACTTTTTCAGGATAATGGGGATTTAAAAGTGTAAATAAACAGTCTCACTTTAATGACCCTCTTTTTGTTCTTCCATAGTGTGCATGAGTTGCTTTGTTGGCAATGAAAAAAAGTCATGCAAGACCCGATGACAGAAAGCTTAAAGCAAAGACATCCTCTTACTGAAAGACAGGCTCTAACATGACTGGAGCTGACATGATGCTTTTTGAGCTGACGCCCAGACATCCACCCAAAGTTCACCTATGAACACACCCACACTAAATTGAAAAAGAATGAATAATTTCCATTATGCATATTGCAGGTGGGAAAATCCTTCTTGTCCTGTAACTTCTCAAGTTACAGGACAAAATAAAGAACTGCCAGGTAATATTCAGAGTATGTTTTTTTTGAAAGAAGGAAGTTATAATTTAAGGGGTTTTTGTAACTTCAAAACAATGAAGGTACGTACTACAAGAAAAGGCTTTTGTGTTTCTGTTCAAGGAGTGAAACTATGGAACAAACTGAATATGGAATTAAAGCAACGTCCAAACATAAAACTGTTCAAAAAGAGTTATAAAAATATGATCTTCTCGATCTATAAAGAAAAGGAAAATATTTAAATTAAGTGAATGTCTCTATTTAAAAACAAACAAACAAACAAAAAATTCATGATGTGATATTATAGTATATAGTATATCAGAAATCTGTTCACTATTTTTATTACAAATTATATCAGTAAGGAAGCTGACTAAATATTCACTGATAATTTATGGCAAAGGGGTGGGATTAAATAAGTGTATACTTCTTCCCACTCCCTTTCAACATGTAAATTAATCAGAATGTTTTTTTGTATGTAATTTGCATAGTATATATTTTTTTTTTCTCTTATTTCTTTTCTAAATGTACTTGCATATTGTTCACATGTTGAAATAAATTACCAATCAATCAATCAATCAATCAATCAATCAATCGTGTCACCAAGTTTCATATGAGAAAAACTGCAGTTTCTCAGCAAACAGGCAGATACAAGCCCAGTTATTTAGTCTGAAAATACTCAAAATATGCACAAGAAAGAACAAAAACGCTGAAATGAGACACTGAGAATGTCTTTGTGATGGCCATGTGGTGTATAACTGGTCACAGGAGCAAAGAAAATGCACGTCATGTTTTTAACTGCTTCTCCTCAGCAAAGCAACAATGGTTTGTCATGTTGTTACTGATAACAAAAAACAAGCTCTCAACCCACCAAACAGTCTGGTGTCTCAGTTTTCCCACAAACCTCTGGGGATTCAAAGGGTGAAAAGAAAAAAAACGCCTGATTTACTCAGTGACCAAAAGAGCCTTGTTGAGACCTGCCTGATCCAGGATCAGCAGAAAACAAAGGCACAGTAAGAAAGAAAAATATTATTACTCATTCACAACAGTCAATTCTGAATATTGCATTCGCTTCAGAGTGATTCACGGTTTTGAAAATCATGCATAGATTTATCACATATTTTAAAGGTCGCTGGAAAATTAACAAAAAACAAAACTCGCAATATTTTTGGCATGTTTTATTTATTCTGAGTGAAAGACAAGCCTCCTACTTATGCGCCTCACAAACACACACACACATTTCTCAAAAATATACATTCTAAGCAAATACTGACATTGATCAAATGAACCTCAATACAACCATTTCCCAAGCAGAAAGACAGCCCCCTGCCTTGTACCCTGTGGCCCTGGGAAAGCCCCATAGCTGCCTGCCACCGTGTTTCATGGCAGGTATGTTTTATGACGTTTAATGGTGGTTTTTCCAAAAGCATTTCAGTTTTACAAAAATTTAAAATCTGTGTTCAATAAACAGGCAGTTCGGTTATGACGGCAGATATCCTGCAAATAACCTCTTTGTAAGCTGCTTTAATAAAAACAACTATTAAACATGACACACTTGTAAAAGCAGCTCCTCTTCCCTCGACTGGTGCACAGTTCGTAATTCATTAAAATGCTGGTTAGAAGGCACGACCCCTTCATTGTCTCCACAACATTTATCTGAATTTGGTCAAAGAACACTCAGTCAGCCAGCAAATTAACTGCTGACAGTGCTGACTGATAATTTACTGCTGGTTCAAATTTCTACACATAGTTCATGAGTGAGGCAAAGTGATGGGTGCTAGATGCTGTGTGCTACATCCCAGTCTTTCCATGTCCCTGTTCCCCACAAGAAAACAAAGCAATACTTAAAAAAGAAATATATATAGCATTAAAAAAAGTGAATATTGACAAGCACTCAGTACTAAGATAGAGTCCAAAACTGAATACACGGCTAATAGCTGCTTGAAAAGTTAGATAACCTTTGTCCTGTATATAATGAAGCTACTGCCAGCAGTCAGTTAGCTTAGTTTAGCACAAACCCTGGAAACAAGAGAAGGTAATTTACCTCCACTGTCAACAATTCTGTTTTATGTGGTTTAATGAATAATGAAGACACTACTGAGTTATTCTCTGAGCTTGTTTTCAGTCTACATGCTAGGCTAACGAGCTGCCAGTTGTAGCTTCTATTTCATGTACAAACAAAAGCATGATATTAATGTCAAAGAAAGCAAGTAAACACATTTAAATGTTGAACTAGTGCTTGACTCTTTAGGGTGACAGAATGTTGATAAAAAATAAAAGTGCATTTGTACATTAAAAATAGCGCTTCTTTGCTAACCTTGAAAATCAAAGTACTGCTAAAGTGAATCTTTGCTTGGACCTTTTTTATGTATTCTTAGTGCATTCAACATGAAAATCTATTACCTTCACTAAAGGAAATCAAGAAATGGGGCTGTGGTGGGGATATATTATTATTCTTTTAAAAGAAACAACCTTCTTTGAATCATATTTCTCAACATACTGCAATTATACCACAAATACAGTCATATTTGTTTCTTTGATTTTTGTCAGAAAGCTTTCATATTTGGCTGCTCAGACCTCTCTCTGCATATAACTTTTAGTTATGTAGTCGTAGTTGTGCAGACACGTTTGACAGTGATGGGAATCAAGTAACATTCTGCTGCAGGTAACACTGTCAATCCACGCTGCCTGGTGTACGGTGGCTGCCTGGTGTACGGTGGCTGCCTGGTGTACGGTGGCTGCCTGGTGTACGGTGGCTGCCTGGTGTACGGTGGCTGCCTGGTGTACGGGGACTTGCAACCTAAAACAAGCCAGTTTCAGCACACACTACACACACGTCTTAAGCACTCTCAGCCTACCTACGTAGATACAGGCAAACATTTCCAAACAGACCACAGGATTAATTGTAAAATTAAAAGCACTCTTTCCTTTATAATATGTACAAAGCATCAATCAATGAACAGCAATTGTCAGGCTCTATCCAGATGGTATTAATAAAAAGCATCATTTTTCTCTCTTTTTTTGTTGTCTTCGTTGGAAGGGTGTGGCAACAGCAGTGTCTGAACACGTCGGTTTCTATCTGCAAGCACGGGCACAAGCACACAGGGGAAATGAAAAGAAAGAAAAGCGAGTGGCAAAGAGAAAAAAAGACATCTTCAGATTTCATGTTGCTTTAATCCCAACTGGTCTGAAAATGTGAACAAATACAGCCACTCAAACTGGAATCGTACCATTTACGGTTACTGCTGCCGATCCCGCCCGATCACTGTCCTTCGAGCTGCGAGACCACGTGGGTTATGTTGTCGTTGATGAAGGCTGATTTGGTCAACCCCATCTGTGGGTTCAATAGATTCCATCAGTTAAAGATGTTGCAGAGATGCACTAGTCCGCAAACACGCGTGGTGTTTGCAACACACCCCTGCAATAATTGTGAAGCCCTCTGAACTTAGAGCGGCGAGGGGAAAAATGTTTTCTACTCATCTGTCACATTTTTTTCTTTACTAGTGACGCATTAATCTTTGACAGAAATGGTGCAGATAGTGTTAATAAGGTGAACATAGCTGCATGAATCTAAAGAAAATGTCTCATATTCCTTCGATCCTCCACCTCAGGCTTTTATTGTGGGGGCGACAGCCCCAATTTTCCACGGATTACTCCTCCCGTATGAAACCGTGAGCACTGAAAACAAGTCTACCAGGATTCCAGTCTAATGTTTCTTTATTCACTGATGTTTTGGGTGTGGCAGAAGGGAAGGGAAAGTGAAGAGTCTGAGGAGTCATGATAAACACCCATCCATTTGTCCACCAATAAAGCTGGGCCCTCCCAGCAAGGAAGTTTGAGCATGAACTAGCATGAAATGTAAAGACAATAAGCACATCACTGAAAGATCACCTCAGCTGTACCATTAGGCCATTTCTCCCTTTTCTAATTTACCTTTTTCATAGAGCTTTGCAAATTCTTGTCTTGCCATATGCTGTACAGCAGCAGCGAGGCTGCGCTGCTTCCCTTGGTAAGTTTCCTAAAAAGAAAAGAAGTCATCATCGGTCATAGAAACACGCTGAAGCTTGCCACCTCTGCAAATGATATTTAAAAAAAACACTCACTTGTCTTCACTGAGGTCAAATAGCGACTGAATAACGGCATTATTGATGACCTTCTTGCTGGTGTCACTGTTTGCTGACATCAGTCTTAGCACTGTGTTGCAAGCTGCTGCTACAGACTCGTCAGAATTTCCCAACTGACTGGGCCCACCCTGCAGGAGTTCTACGAGCTGAGGCAAGATCTGCTTTGCTAAAAGAAAACAGCAAATCAATTGTATGTGGACTAAACTTGCATATCTGAAAACTGGATAGTCAAAGTCTTTTGTGCGCTACCATTATCCTACTTCTTACCCATGGTGCCTTGCAAACTGTCGGTCCGAGACATGTTACCCAACAAGGACAAGGCAGTGTTCTGAAGCTTCGGGTTAGATGGCTTCAGCAGAGGTCCAAATTGACTCAGATCTCTGGACTTACTAACCAAAATTTGGCTCACAGCATCTGACCCCTGAAATGGTTACAAAGAGGAATTTATTTAATTTTTGTGTTTATTTAACACAGGGGAAAAAACATCAACAACACCCACAACGGAATTAAGGAAAAGGCAATTTGCTGAAAACTTTCTTAACCTCCACATATGTGGACATCACATTTTGGGTTATTTAGACCAAAATACGCAATTTCGCTCTACAAGGGCCTGATATCCACTTACGAGGACATTATGCTGCTACTGTTCTATCGAAATTTTAAATGAATATCCTCATATGTGGCTCTGATTTTTCTTAGAAACAAAAATAAGGTAAAAAAAAATAAAAAAAATCAGGTAATTCTTTGTTTTTATATTCATCAGATCCCAATCAGCCCAAATATCAAAGGGAAATTAAAAATGCTGCCGTGGAAGAGTTCAGGTCTAAGGAGGTTAGAAATATGAGATTTATGTCAAAGAACAGGCTCTTCTCTTCACTTCAAAATGTTTAGTAGTGTCTGTAACCATGTGCCATTTTCACACATGAACTCTAGATAGTGTTGGGAGAATCAGCTTGGGACACTGGCCTCAGCTGCTCTTTGCCTCTGAAGGAAACATCCTGTTTGGTTAAGGCCAGTGTGGAGGAGGCTGGATCGCCAGTCACTGTGAAGTCTCCAGACATATTCCCACACTGATACGTTATACAGAATCTGCACTAAGGAGCTGGCAGAGGAAAGTTTAAGAACAGCTTCAGCTGGTTTAAACACTGCTGTCACCAGTTAATCGTGACTAATAACTGGAATATAGCTTTCTTCACTTCTAACACAACAAAACCACACATCGCTGTATATGGGAGAATAACTGCAAGAGGTTGAACAAGATTCACCTTTAAACTGTGAAGCAGAAAAGAAAATGATAAGACGGTTTAGAGCTCTGCACAGGACAAAGGGGAAAAACAGATCCTTACAACTGGTGCCTGAAGAGGCTTGAAAACACTTTTCAAAAGAGTTAAAGAATTATATCGATTGGAGTATGAATGTCACACAGGGCAACTTGCCATTTGTTGCATGTACAGTTTCTTTTAAAAGAATCAGAGAAACATGCATGTATGTATATGTATAAATGTGCTCAATAGCTCATTACATTATGTTGTGACTTACACGGTTAACTAACGTGTAGATGTTTTGTGTTGTAAAACAAGTGAAATTCATCTACAAACCTGAAATACAAAGACAACTCCACCCTTTCTCACAAAACTTTTACATCTTTCCTCTTTCATAAATCAACCTGAGCTAATCCAGTTACAGAGTAACACCATAATCCTAATAATTAACTTCTTCGTACTCACGTTTCCCTTGCTGGCAGTGAGGTTCTGCAGAGCACCACAGCAGGCCTCTAGAGTGGCTTTGTTCTCGGACGATTCCAGGAGGGACAGGTAGGTGTCTATAGCTTTGGGATGGGACAACCACTTAACACCCGATGGGGGGCTTAACACCCGATCCACAGTATCAAAGGAGAACTGAGAGAAGCAGAGAAGGCAAGTTTAAATGAAAGACTCCAACAAACAAAATAGTCTACAGGCATTGTGCTTAGTGCCCACCGTCTTTTGGGCCTTGCTGCTCTTAGGGCTGAAGCATCCAATTGTGGGGCTTTTCTCGTGTTGGGCATCTCTACTTGGGTTGTAGTTTATGAAACTCACGGGGGACTCTTGCTCCAGTTTGTAGGACAAGTTATGGAGGATGCATGCACAGTTCTCCAAGGACTAAAGAACAGGAGAGAGTTCACATTAAAGGTTTTATTTTCATACTTTTGTCTGTTATGACTCATAAACAGCATAGCAGACCTATCTGATGATGAACTGGACAACGGTTTTAGTGTCAGACACTAGAAAGACAGTCAGTCTGCTGACAACATATTTAGACTGCAGTAGAAAAAAATAGCTAATAACAGTCATCAATTCATACTTAATAGTAAATATAAAAGTGCTTTTTGTTTGCATGTTTCACAAAAAACACTACATACCTGTGTTTATATACTATTATGAGATCACTGTTTTACAACTGGATCAAATGGGAAGCTCTATTCAAGGTAACGCTATGTTTCTCTATGTTCTTTGTGCGATGAGATAATCTCTGCCTGCACTTTCACTAATTATGCTTTAGTTCATGAAATGAAGTCTGTGTAAACTCTGCATTAACATAAACATAGAATTAAGGACACACCCACACCTGAAACGTCCACAAATTACAGGTACGCACAGATTCATAATAAGCATGTAATTTAGTGAGCATATGTACATTCACATGGGTATGCTTTTAAAAAACAAACATAAAGACACATTTGGAATCTGGACTGACTACATTCTGTAGGAGACGCAAGATAAATGTTGTACAACTTTGACTACACAAGGATTCGTCACAAGATATGATTCCAAAAACAGAAAACTGCTCACTCACGCACAATTTAAACACACAAACTGGTGTGAACCAGAAAAACAATAAAGCCACAAAGACAAAGAAGGGCCCAATGATTATGAGGCTGGTGATGCCACTGATGACACTGAGATAGTGGACTCTTATAAGTACCTGGGTGTTCACCTCAACAATAAACTGGACTGGACTACAAATTAGGGCTGCCACGATTAGTCGACTAGTCACGATTACGTCGACTATCAAAATCGTCGACGACTGATTTAATAGTCGACGCGTCGTTTGAAGCTTTGTAAGATCCCAAAAGACGCAGGAATAAGTAGCAGGATTTAAGAGTGTAATAACGGACTGAAACAGAAGATGGCAGCACTGCATGTACAAGGATGCCAGCTGCCGTTAAACCCCGAAGAAGAAGACTGTGTCCCAGAATTCATAGCGCAGCCCATCGCGGCCCTGCTCAGTTTCCGACAATGGCGGCAGCTAGTTAGTTTTAATATTACTCTTATTATTCTTTCTGGGCCACAAAATAAACGTTTAACATATTTTCAGGCGAGAATGTAGCTGTGTAAACCTCAAATATCTGCTCAGTTTATCAAGACACCGCATATTTTCAAAAGCGCTCCGACGTTTTCGGAGACGTGTTACCCACTAGCTCCATAGCTAGCCGGGGGCAAGGCTAACTAGAGCCGTGAGAACACCGGACTCCCGGCAAATCGTTTTCAAACCCACCACCGTCTTTCGCTACTCAGGTTAAACATGATATATATGAGTCACTTAGATAACTTACAAATGTTATTGTTTGGCTTTCTTTAGTATTTTATTTGTTCCTGAGTAAATCGGTTTGTCTGAGATTAAAGTTATAGTTTTTACACAGCTGAATAAATGTCAAGCAGACAGCTGATTGTCAGAAGTGTGAGATGCTCAAGAATTTACTCCGGTGTCCTGTTATATTTTAGATAGCAAGGAGTTTATTAAACTTCACCGAGACAATCTGCAAATTTCATTAAAATTTAATAAACTATCATCTTGTCTCTATTTTTAGTTAGCACATACCTTAAACACTTAAAGCTGTAAGCTAATGATAGTTATATAAGAGCAGATGCTGCTGGTGCAATAAGCTGTACGTTTTACTCCAATGGATGATGATCTGATTAGTCGACTAATCGCAAAAATAATCGGTGACTAGTCGACTATCAAAATAATCGTTTGTGGCAGCCCTACTACAAATACAGACGTCCTGTATAAGAGGGGCCAGAGTCGACTCCACCTGCTGAGGAGACTGAGGTCCTTCGGAGTCTGCAGGACTCTGTTATTTATTCTGTAGGACTCTGTTAAGGACATACTATGACACTGTGGTAGCATCTGCCCTTTTCTATGCAGTGGCCTGCTGGGGGAGTGGATGCACGGACAGGGACAGGAGCAGCATTGACAAACTGGTGCGGAGGTCTAGCTCCGTGCTGGGATGTCCCCTGGAGTCTGTGGAGGTGGTTGGCGAGAGGAGGATGTTAGTAAAGCTGACATCCATCATGAACAACCCACATCACCCACTGCATGAGTCTGTGAGTGGGCTGAGCAGCTCCTTTAGCCAGAGACTGAAACACCCTTGCTGCAGGAAGGAGCGCTTTCACAGATCATTCATCCCAACAGCAGTTAGACTCCATAACTCCTGAATCACGATGTCATAAGTCACTGGACACTGAACATCCACCACTTCACTTCATGCATAATGGACCCTCCATGTGTATGGACGTGTGCAGGTATATATGTATGTATATGTATACATATGTATATTTAGTGTGTACATGTGTGTGTATCTATAAATAGGAATAGTAGTGGTACAATAGTTATGTCAAGCTATACAGTTTATGTCTTGCATATTTCCAACCATATCCATAATCACATACTGTGTGTGCTGTATGTAGTGTATTATCTTACTTTTTTTTTTTCATTGATTGCACTTATTTGTATTTTTGTATTTTCTTCTGATATCTGTACCTGAGCTGAGGTGATGCAAAAATTTCCCTGTTGTGGGATCAATAAAGTCTTATCTTATCTTATCTCTTATCTTCAATACCGATTAGCTCTACAAGCAGAACTGAAAGACAGTTTACAATGACAAAAACAATATAATCAATATATCAACAAAGACTAATAACCAATTTGCTAAATTATCATTAATCGGTTACTGGTTAACTTTCTGTCACTGACGTCTCTGAAAAATCAATTAACTGTTTCAGCTCTACTGATTTTACTGATGCGATGACGACAGCAGACAAAACAAACTCTGCATTTTGGCCACACGGCCCGATTGTGTACTGTTATATGGGAATCATTAGACTACCAGTGAAAAAGTTATGAATACTTGTAACTGATGGGAAAAGGTTGAATTGTTGGTAATAAAAGAGTTAACTGTGTGTTTAAGTGGTTACCGAGTCATTGGGGTTTTGCTCTGCCACACAGGACTTCATGTAACTCATGAGGGAGTCGATAAGGCCAGGACAGCTTCTCATTGCCTGCCTCTGTCCACCCCGACCAGAGCTCAAGTTCCTGCAACCACCATGAAATCATCGTTGCAGCGTGTACATACATATAAATATACATACGTGATCCCTTAAATTAAGTGAAAACAGATGGTATAACATATATAAATCCCTTTTATAGCCACTGTATAAAAGATATTAACTGACTGATCGCTGTCATTACAAAGACTTATTCTTACCGCAGGCACCCTGTGGCAGAGTTGAAGACAGAGGGGTCAATGTAGCTACTCGGACCGCTGTCTGACAAGCTTGTGTAAGGCACCACCACACATTGAGTCAGGGCGGGCAGTGCTGTAGCTGCAAGCTCTTCCTTCAGCTCGTTGGCAGAGGACAGGTTCCACAGCAGGCCTATAATATGGCAACCAAAGGAGAATACATGCAACCGGTGTTTAGTTTTGTTTAAAGCCAGACAGTCCATTTGTTTTTCTGGGCATTTCATCCATCATCAAATTGGTTCGCTCTATTTCACTTTTTTTTTTTTTTTTGCATTTGTCTGTATTATTACTGGAATCACTACTACCTCATTTCTGTTTCTACATGATATGTCAGTGTCTTCTATCTCAGTCAAAGTTCCTACCGGTAATTTGTTTCTGGGTCTCAGTAGAATCTGTTTCCTTTAGCAGCTGAAGGGCCTTTGCTATACCACCACAGCGCTGAACCTCCAGTTTGTTATTTTGGTTCTTGAACACCAGGTTCCTCAGAGCTCCAGCAGCAACCTGGCACACCTGAGGATTGCCGCTTCTCAGCAGGGCCACCAGAGTAGGAATGCCCCCGAGTTGGAAAACCTGCAACACAGAAATACAAAGCGGAGAGGTGGAGAGAATTTTTTGATGTGATATGAAAGCAAAAGCAGTTACAAGCTCATTACTTATTACTTAGTAGTATGCAAATCATGCATTAGCATTGCTTATAGTCACCTATTTTCAGAAACTAATAGATGCTCATGCATTTTTATTTAAAGTGCATCACACGTGTGCATAAGCTTTGCGTATGGGAACATGAGAGGATCATATTTTTTTAAGTAAATAAAGTACCAGGATGTTCTCTCTAATAACTTCTGGCCTGATGATGCAAACCAATAAAAACTGAAGTGAATTGTTTTCTTAAAAAGCCTCATTACTCTCAAAACCAACTAAAACTAAACTGAATTAAAAACAGAAAGTCAAGATATAATAAAAATAATAGCTAATTAGAAATTAAAATAATTAATTAAATTACTTTTTTAATTTAATTAATTAAATAATTAAAAATACAAAACTATAATAACTCTGTACTATACAGAGTGCGTGTTTCTCTTCACAATAAGCATGTACAGTAATCTTCTGTGTGCCTGCTCGGACCTCTGATTTGGCAGACTCGTCGGTGTAGGTGGTGTGTTGGATGAATGTTGCTCCCCACTGCTGGTAACTTTCCTCACTGCTACCCAAAAACTCTACAGCCTCCTTTAGGGTCAGGTCTGGAATGTTCATCCTGGAGAAACACACCCAGGAATGTAGGCAAGGGTAGGAAATTAGAAAAGAAATACGCTCTTCTGAGTTTAGTAAACAGTCTGGATTTAATTTCAAGTTTTAAAATATATATTAAGCTACATTTTAATGCCAGAATAAAGGTGACCTTACATTGATTTACTCTCCATTTTGATGGTACCCATCTTGCCCTCATGTTGAGACTGGGTGGAGGGCATCCGGACTATGCGCGACTGGCTGCTGGTGATCGCATTACCGTTAGTCACTGATGAAACACTGTGTCTGTTTGTTCGAGTTTGAAAGGTGCTTTGGCCCTGTGCCATCTGTCCTTTTATTCTCTAGAAAGCAACAAAAAATAGTTTAGAACATTTTGTTGGTACTTCTATGTGAACTACGCAGAACAGAAAAAATGTAAAACACAAAATGATCACCATGCCAGGTCCAGTGGCAGGAGAAAAAGGTGTAGCCAAGGCAGGGTCACTCTTACTGGGTTTTATCCCATTGGGAGTCTTTGGCCAGGTGGAGGCACTGATATTCTCTTCCCAAACACCGGAGGTACTCATATATCTTCCTCCAGAATTTCTAGTGGATAGAGTACGACTCGTCTGCATTGTCAAAAGAGAGAGATTTACTTACTGTCCAAGCAACATTTGCATCGTTGGTTTTCCAAAAGTACAGAGATACAAATGACACATTGCAAAACTCCACAACATCTTAACTTCAAGGCTTCTCTGTAAGGTAAGTAACCTGGTTTCCCACAAGAACAGTTTTCAAAGATCCCCGGAAACCCAAAACAGGAAAATTTCAACTGACACAAAGCCTGCGTGCCACTTCCTATCCTCCCTTTTCTCGGTTTACTCTCAGGAAACCTGTAGAATAAAGCAAACGACCATACGTGCGAATGTAACAAAATATCCGTCATTTGAGACTAACCCAAGCCATTTCTGTTCTAAGACTGATGATACATTGGAGCAAACAGAGGAGCTTTGTGTGCACAAGTGAGACTGAGCACCTGCTAAACCTGTATTCACGATCTTGATGTAATTGCCAGCTTAATCTCATAATTGTGCATCATTTAAGAGTGCAAAATTAAAAGGATAATAAATGAAATCTATGAAGTGTGTGCATGGGCACGACAGTGTGTGCGTTTGTTCACATGTAAAACACACTTTACAAGCTTTCCCATAAAGTAAGGACCCAACATGTCTCACTAATGCTTCACTGATTAGTCATCCACCAAATTAAATGCTCGTCTCCTATTGGCTTGAAAAAAAATACAGAAAGGAGGAAATGAAAAACCTCGCCTTTACACGACCACAAAACCAAACAGCCTCAGCTCACTCTTTTCAATCGCAGAGTTTATTATGAAGGAGGACCTGCTACAGGTGGAGCAGGCGCTCCGGGTACACACATGAATTTTCTTATTGGTCTTTAGCTCGTTCCTGTTCCTAACTGGACTGGTTGCTGAGTTACCATCCATACGTCAGCCATGATAGCAGGCAGTAAAAACATGGTGAAAGAAAGATATGTCAACAGTACACTTGATAAGAGAAGATAGTGTGTTTATTCTCACAGTGCTCCCTTCATGCAGCTACAGCCTGAGTGAGCCACGAGAACCTTTCATACACAGGACAATGTGGACAAATGCAAACTCAGCACGTCCAGAATACAGAGACAAACAGTACAATGCTTCTATTCTGGCACTAGACTAATAAAAAAATGGCTTTATTGTTTTCTGTTACGAGGAGAGATTATACCTGGGATTAACACAGATTTACTGTATGTGGTGTTGCCAGAAAGAAGCCCTATCAAACAGCACAGGTATTATTATTATAGTCGAGTGGTGCAGAGTTATAACAGGTTAGCCAACTTATCTGGAAAAAAACAGCAAAGAAACTGGAAAAAAAAGGGTAAATGGGCTGCTTCTTATGTAGGACTTTTCTACTCGCAAAGCGCTTTATATAACACACCTCCTTCACCCATTCATACAAGGACTTTATTCTACACCTATCTAAAACTTACACACTTTCATACTCCGATGAACACATCAGAGAGCAACTTTGGGTTCACCATACTGCCAAACAACACTGAACCCCACGCAGACTAAAAACTGGAGCAGCCAGGCATCGAACCTGCGCCCTTAAAATGAGCAGTTTGAGCTCCTAAGCGGCTACAACCACCAACAGAACTGTAAAAGCTCAGTTCAAGTCCCATCAAACTGAGACCGAGGTGGCTCCCGAGATACAGAAAAAAAGTTGTTATCTGCATCAAAGACATTAACGGTATATCTTTGTGGCCTGTCCGTCCACTGCGTGCAAGGTTGCAACTTAATGGGCACGACTGTTTCGTGATAATATGGTAATCCATAGATGACAAATTCAGCTAATAAAAATGTGAGAACCGCACAAACACAAAAACTGTGAGTAATTCAGTTTGTTATACTTTCTTCTGGGTTTTCTTTTTATAAAGACATAAATAATTGTATTCGTAAGCCGTCTCATTCAAGCAGTGCTTGTAAATGCTGCACTAGACAACACGTTGTATTCCAACTGCTGGATACAATTTCTTCACTAAGTAACTTTGTGTTATTTTTGTTCTGTGGATTATTTGGAAACGACCTTGCGACATAAGTGTTTCATGATGTGATGATTATGAGTCTTCATCAGCAAGAGCACATCACCACACTCTCGCCGCATTCCTCAACTCACTGTCAGATCAAATCAGGACAACACGCAGCAAACAAATATTAAAACACACACACACACACACACACACCAAGAACGATGAGCATTACACTTAGCTATGGAATTTCAAATAGTTCGGTATTGTAAATGAGTTGTTTCACCCCGACTGCTCCTGGCAAGACTCACAGAACAACATTCAAAAACAACAGATTCACACCAGCGCAAAAATACACTCCGGTTTGTGAGAAGAAAAATGAACGAGCAGAAAACGTGCATATTTTTTTCAGGGTTTTCGGTACAAGAGAACATTGTATGGATTGAGATGACCTCAGGCATGAACACCAGGAGACCCGTGTAGCTACAGAGTCGTCAGCCAGTATCATCATTTCCTAAAACAATGTCGTAAATCACCAGTGACTGAGCGAGCCTTCCCGTTTGGTGTCAACACTAACATATGGACTAATAGGCATCCTCCTTGAATTTAAGATTGCATCCAATTGCTCCATCAACCCTAAATTTCTCACAGTTGAGTTTCAAAACATAAACCCCCTCATTTTGAAGGGTGGGGCACAGAAATGCCACACACACAAATACACCCCGACTTGTAAACGCACACATTGGAAATGGGCAGACATTTGTGGAAGCATCTATTTTGTTTTTTGCTTTTCTTGTCGAGAATTACAAGATAACCAAAAGCAATCTTGCATATATCTGTTTAAAGAAGCTGGAAACCAAAAGGCATTTAGTTCAGCAAGAATTCAGCAGTGTCTTTAACATGATGCAGATTTAGTCATATTATTGGCTCTGATAAGATAAGCAAAGATCTCTAGTGAAAGAGACACACGTTTTACAGGAAGAGCATCTGGTTTAAAAAAATAAAATAAAATCAGCTCTCAATCAAATATGCAGATCCATCTGCTGTGGCAGCCACCTTGCTAACAGGGAAGCAGCCAAATTAATTTGTTTCTGTGTGAACATAACGAGCAAAAATAAACATGTTGAGCATAAGCAGTCTGTTGCTGGGAAAGGTTTGTGCGCTGCTGTAATTACCTCCTTCGTGGTGCCAGCAGACATAGTGGATTTGCTGCGGAAGGTGCCATTTGCTTTGGATGGAGAATATCTGAACGAGGCGAAATCTGTTTGTTTTGTGAAAGACGGCAGAGGTGGACCTGTTTAAAAAAAGAAAGATATGAGACACACACACTTTTACAAAATAATAATAATTTGTATGTATGTATGTATGTATGTATGTATGTATGTATGTATGTATGTATGTATGTATGTATGATGACAAAAAGCAGAAACTTGAACCCCCCCCCACACACACACACACACACACACACACACACACACACACAATCACTGAGTGTCACACGGAGGCTACAAGTGAACAAGTCCTTTTAGATAACAGCAAACAACAACTGAAGGTAATTAAGATCCTAGAAGTAACTCAAACATTACAAAGCAGCTGCACACTGAAGAAGGCAACCTGATAGCCGGAGGTGCATCCGCAACTCCGGCTTTGATTTCTCCCCATTTACAATCGAGTGTTTGTTAAAGGGTAAAATCTTCCTACAGCGCAGTTTCAACCCATTTTCAGAAGAAATTCTTACGTCAACAATCGTCGTTACGCCTTTCTCACGCCTGCTGGAACCTGCTAGTGTCACACAGCGGGTCTTTTTTCTTTTCTTTTTTTAAACAAAACTGTCACTTTGATACCAAAAAGCCTCGAAACATATTTGAACCACCTACTTTCCAACCTACAACTTAGATGTGCCTGTGAAGTTATACAAAAATAAGGAAAGAAATAAAAAGGAAAGGATAACGTGGCACATTTAAAAAAAGCACGTCGAGCCCGTTAAGCGGTGCTACTTCAATGGAAGTTGTGTGACGCATCTTACTCAGGTAACACAACGCTCAGTTTACGAGCCCCACAGACACGTTGGGTTTTGTTTTTTTGTTTTATTATAGTTGTAGAAACTTATTTCCATACTTGTAGGAGAAGGAGCTCTGACACTCTTGCCGTGTTTGGACTTGCTCCTCTTAATGCTGTGGACTTGGTCCAGCACGCGCTGCTGTCCCGACCGCAACTTGTTGTCGGAGGGCAGCGCGAGCGAAGTATCCTCCGCGACCCGGATGGTTGTCGCTGATCGCAGCGGCTCCGGGGCCATCATCTTCCCAACTCAGCGCCCCTCTTGTGAACGGATCGACAGAACGGGCTTCCAGAGAAGCGCAGGCCCGGAGGGAAAATAAAAAGTGCACCGACAGCTGTAACGGCCGCGCTAAGTATGCAGATTGGTTGTAGTTGTTCTCGGAGCAGAGGCGGTATAACTCCACCCTGGGAACCGCGCCCGGCCGGGAGAGTTCACAGAAAGGTGTGGTGTGCAAGGAGGAGCCGAGAAAGGCAGGAGTTCCACTGCGCAGTACTCGGTATACGTGCGGGGGGGGGGCGCTAATGTTGCTCTTCTTAAAATTGAAAATAGAGAATTAAAAACCAAACAAACAACCGTACAGGAGCATGTTCAGCCTGTTTAGCGTTGCAACTGCCACTCGAGGAAATGTTGTCTGTCTTGCATCGTGTCAAGGAACTATGAAATGCTTATAACCAGGCTGAGACGTGAGAGTCCGGCCGGTCTCCACCAGCACGAAAACATTAGTGTTTCATCCTGAAACGTTTTTCATTTTTCTCCATGTCTGATGACAGCAAACCTCCTCCAAGACAGCAACGTCGCTTTTAAACGTACTTCAACATGTTTTTAGTTCAATAAAAAAAAAGTGCAGAATTTTGTTGCCCTGTTAAAGGCTTTATAAATACACTTGACATCATTTTGAGTATTATTTAATTTCATTGTGTAGCATAATTCGTTTAAATGTTTAGTAACAACTATCAGGTTTAAACAGTTTTTATTAAGTAGTTTTCTCTCTCTCTCACTCTCAATCACACACACACACACACACACACACACACACACACACACACACACACACACACACACACACACAGGTCAAATGTGCCATTATTTTATATCTTTAAATGGTACTTTGTATGCTAAAAATCCAAACCACACAGAGTCACAGTTTCTACGTTATAAGGCTTTTTGTAAGTTTTCGATCAATAAATCAAGCTGACCAGGACATAAGCCAAATTTCAGCAGATGGTTAACACGACATCCCCATGAAGTTTTATCAGAAAGTAATAATCAGAATCAGCATACTAAAACTTGAGATTGACGTGCATGCATGCAAACAGTACTGAAAACATAACCTCTTTGGTGGAGGCAAAAATGAAATATTCCTGTTTCGAAGTTCAAATCAAACGGATTGCAAATATTACAGCTGTCATACATTTGGATGCACTGCATTTCAGATGAAAACCCTCTTTACTGGACTATATCTGATAGTTATAGCTATTCTCAGATTAACAGGCTTTTCTGCATACAAAACACGATAGAATCGTAACAAACACAAACCTTTTCGAGTCCACACATGTAATTGTAAATTTTAACACATTTTGTGCAATTTATGCAATAAATTATCAATTATCTGAAAAGGGCATTGCTTTGTGTAGTCACATGCAGGGCTTTTTCTTCTTTAATAGCTTTTCATGTGGTAGTGCAGATGTTAGTAATGATAATAATAATAATAATAATAAGTGTTGGTCAGTGATAATGAGGAGCATATGAATAAATAAACAAACAAACAGGGTGGTGTTGTGGGGCTAAACTTTGATTTTTTTCAGTAATAATGTTTTATTTAATTGCACCATTTAAAAAAAACACTGCAAAAATAATTGGGAAAGGATAAGAAGGAAGAGTCAATAAAGAGATACCCAGAAGCAAACTTCTAAGATAATGGAAAAACTACAGGGACGGAAAGGGAGTGGGGGGTGGGGGAGTAATAATATGAGCACATGCTCGCTGCATAACCGGATTGTTATGGCGAAGTTTCTGCAGGTAACATTTTCCCACCACGCCCTTCAGTTGTACAGTGCAATTGCAGTAAATTCTTGCAGTGTGTGTCATGTGCTCGTATTGAATGAATGTGAATGTATTCATGAGGAAAACGGTAACCCACTAAAATAAGCTTCCAAAGTATTTGAGCCAAAAAAGAAAGTGGGAGGGACATTAGTTGAAGTTTTATTTGATAACCTGATCAGGTAAAACTACCATTTGAAAAAAAAAAATTGACACCAGGATTTTTTTTAAAGTGCTGGGGAGTTCTGAAACCAAAGCCCCCCCACTGCTCGTCCATAAACGAGCAATTAAGTGTCTTCACTGCAAATATAAAATGACCCCTTGTTAACCAAGACTGTTTTGCTAGATGACAATCTTAGTTGTCAGGGCCACACCCAGGCTTTGCTTATGCTGTCACTGGTGGGGTGGTTGTCATGGCGACAGGTGAGCTGAGTAATGTCTGGGAGAAAAAACTCAGAAGTGTGTTAGAGACAAGTTGTTCATTACCATGACAAACTTACAGTAACATTCGACTTTGCCACATTTGTCCACCTAGGACAGCATTTACGCATGTGCGGCATTCACTGCATTTTATTATTATCATCAATTATAACAAGAATTGTTTTTGTGTTTTTACTCAAGACACCAATCCCAGAAAAAAAAGAGCACAAAGTAAGCACCGTTCACCGTCTATTTATAGTCTGGCTACGGACAGAAAATGTGTGACGTTAAAGCTCTATAAACTTACTCATCACTTTCCTATATACACCGTGGAAGGCTGCCAAAGCACATACAGACAGGTGACTGCAGTGAACGTCTGCCGTGAGCAATCTGGCGGCTGTGTCCCAGTGCATTGTGGTTTCACTTGTGTCCTTATTGCACCATTACCGTAAGTCCACACAAAGCTTATCAATTGTTAGAAATTCAGCAGTGATAAGGGTGCTTGTTATCAGCACCCATGTGGCACACTATTGATATGTACAAGACCGATGGGATTCGTCTCCTTCGCAGCCACGAGACTTCAGCCCAACTGAACCTCTGTGAGACATTTTGCACCAACGTGTTGAACAGTTCTATGAAACTCTTACTGCAGCAAGCGGCGGTGCATCGCCTTACTGAGGTTTACCATGTTAGCTATCATTTGTCTGTACATTAGTCTGTTGGCGTGACTTGGATTTATCGAGTGGATTAACAGATTGGACAGCCCACGCAGGAGGTGTGACTGAATTTCAAATTGACAGCTATACATGTGACTTCAGGTCAGCTCTGGTATTTGAAGACGTGATTTGTCTTATAGATGATGACCCCCCCATGTTAGTGTTAACTGACAAACTGCAGTAATTAAAACCAGACAATTACACACATCTGCACTTTTGAGCCATGATTATCTGAGACAGCAGTGCTTTGCAATATTTAGGCAATAAGACTGCAGCACAGAGGGGTTACGTAAACGTAATTCCAGTGTTATGCAACTATGTGGGAGTGTTGGTTGCAAGTGTAAGTGAAAAAGTTGTGGGACAAAACTGATATGCAAGTGCGTTGAAAAAGCCTGCTATACTTTGGATGCTGTTTAAACATTTGAGCAAAGGGCGCCATCTAGTAGGGCAAACGACAAACTGCAATCTCTGTGTCAACGCTGTCATGAGCATAGAAGCGACTCAAACTGTGCCTGGTTGTTAAAACACCAGGGACACTGAGGGATATACGAGTGCCTTTCATATAGCAGCCATGCTCTGCATCCGTGAAACTAAGTCAGGCTTTGTCAGCCTGCATGGAAAGGAGGACAAAAAACAAAACAACCCCCAAAAAACACACAAACAGCCCCCGTACTCTCAGACAAACCTTGTAGTATTGCTTATGCTCATATTTCCTTATTTTTGAAAGAAAAAAAGTGTCTTATTAATTCCTACACTACATTTAACAAATGTTTTATGTACCAACAGTGAAAAGCTCCATTCTAATTTAAATTAGGTGCGACCACTTAATTAGGTACACCTGTTCAACTGACCGTTTACCCAGATTACAATTCAGCCAATTAACTGGCAGGAACTCAGAGCAATTAGGCATGTGGACATGATCAACCAGAATATATAAATTAGGAACAGTGGATTAAAAATGATATTTACCATTTGTTATTTTCAGACCCAGGAAGGCTCGTTTCCTCTCATCTGTCTAAACGTTATGATCAAGACACCAACGCGTAACTTTACAGGTACAGCGTATAGCCAGTTTTAATTCACTGAGCAGGCAGGAGTGACGAGGCACAGCCAAACAGTACACGCAATTATAAAATAAAACACTTTTGGCTGACCACACAGTGAGTATTAAAATATGATCTCATGTTTTTAAAAAAAAAAGAAAATATAGAGCCAGCTAGCTCTTAGTGTCATGATAGAAAGTCAAATGACAAATTCTCTTCGGCACAGGCAAAGATAATCCTGCACAGAGAGGCCATGACAGTGTAATAGGAAGTAAAAAATGTGAGGTTTACTAAAGAAAGAGAAAAGCCAAATGTACCAATAATCCAACACATTACATAGAATAAAAGAAAAAAGTGTCAGCTGGATAGTCGTTAGTGTTATCAGGCAAAATCTATCCCAGTGCACTGCTGGTGACCTTAATGAGGTCTGTACCATACCATTGTTTGCATATGAAAACAGATAGACCCCGAACACCCGTCCTTTAACATTTTTAGAGTAACACTTTTTTGCTTTGCTGGTGAAATACAAAAAGAAAGAAAAAAAGTTCATCTTTACAAAAATGGACTATTTACCTTAGGTTTGGCTTACAAACAGTACCGTTACAAGCGTAGTGTACGTGTCCTATACATCAGTGCTCCTCAGCTTAAGGCTTTAGAAATCAAAGCACATTCTTATCCCAACTCGCATGGAGGTAGAAGTACTGCAGCAAGCCCACACAGTCAAAGTAAAAATAGTTGCACGTCCACGGAGGTGATTCTGTCGTTAAAAATGCTGCAAAGAGCAAAACGTGAACTTAGTCTGAGACTGTCTGAATTCTTCTGTTGTTTAAAACGACAAGTGAGGCAGTCGAAAACACGTCCTCCACTGGAAACCTTTACAAAGAGAAAGCAAATACTCCTAAAATGATCTCCCTCTTTACACTTTGACACAACATCAAATATAAATACAACATGCTCTTCTTTACATGAGGCTCACTTATACTTTATGCAGTATCCTTGGACCTTCGATTGAGCTGACTGAAGTCCACGATTTCATACTAAACAGGTAACAGAGGCTATTCCAATGTAGACTCATTCAAACTGTACCTCGCAGAGCTACTGCAGTCTGTAAAAGTAATAGTGTTTGTGGCAGGTTACATGAACGATGAATATTTGTTTTCATAGATTATATTCAAACTCATCTCACATCAGTCACACCTGTGATGCAAATGCAAAGATCCACTTGTAGTGCATCACA